TGCTTACCACTAGGTCCTGGTTGTGGCTCACTGCTTGAATTTCTCACAACAAAACGATCCATTGAAGATTGTTTTTTCCTTCTTCGCAACATTTGTCTGTAGCGAGGCATCACATTGTCATTGAAAAGATTGATGCAATGGCCTACTACAGCTTTCTCTGGGTGAGTTGTTTCAATAAAAGTTTGCATTTCTTCCCACATCTGACACCACTTCCTAATTGTTGAGGAAAGGACCAGCTGCCTCTTGTTGCTGTTCGTTTTCAAGGACTTGGAGTTCTTCGGTGGTCATTTCTTCCTTGTGTTCCTCCACCAACTCCTCCACATCAGCACCATCCAATTCCAAGCCCATTTTCCGGCTCAGAGTAACAATTTCCTCGACAATAGGCACTTCATTTACAGGCTCAAACCCCTCAAAGTCTACTTTTGTCACACATTCAGGCCACAATTTTCTCCAGCCAGAGATCAGGGTTCTTTGAGTCACTTCTTACCAGGCTTTGTCAGCGAATTTTTGTCAACAAGCCAAAAATCCGACAAAAAACTGTAAATTCTTGTGAAGACTTCAGGCGGGATAGCCACTGGGCGCGAGGCACTGTTAAACTGAGGCGCAATCGCCGTGCTACCACGCGCTAGGTCGGCCATACGCGTATCAACAAACAGGAACATTCGTAACCCAAGGTACCACAGTATAGCTGATGGGAGTAACTTTACCGATACCGCGCAATACATCAGTAGACGTTTGAGTGTCTAGCTCTAGATTTTAAATACTCCGCGAGGGATAGGGACAACTATAGTCCAGCCTCGACCGATAGTTAACAGACACCACCTAGAAAAAAATCATGGTCAACATTCCCGGGTGTGAGAGCCTCAGTACTGAGTGAACCACCAAGGCTGGCGCACGCAGCATGAGCTCACAGCACCGCTGTTCAGCTTGTGACCACAGCTTCGCCTAAAAATGTCAAAATATATACAGTATGTACATACTATTATTTAGCAATGATAATATTACAGAAGACCCTTGACTGATAAAACTGACCAGGATTCTGATAATAGCAGGATTGTGGTGATATTTAGCGCTGTGCTCCATGGTGGGAGGAACAATGCTGAGGGAGGGAGGGAGGTGGCGTCGTCTTCAGACTGTGTGTGGCCACCTTTTATTGACTGGACTTACCATACCAGCTTAGTGGTTCGCTATGGTGAACATAAATATAGATATTTATATATAACGTGTATATAGAGTGTAATAACAGCAATAGGAGTATGTTGGGAGCCGCCATTTTGGTGAGGAAGGTGCGTCATCTGCATGACATGTCATGTTGTTTACTGGTGGCCACTATAGTCTTTGGGCACCATACCAGCTTATTTGTACAGGTATGGTGAATAAAACATGTAGATACTTACATATAATGTGTGTTTATAGTGTAATAACACCACAAACAGTATTGTTGGAGGAGAAATATTAGTGCGTCTGGCCTGGAACAAGTAATGGCGGTAGCCACCAGCTGACTGTGTGTGTAGCTACGTCTCTTATTGCCTGAACTCACCATACAAGCTTAGATGTACAGTTATGGTGAACAAAACATGTAGATACTTATATATAATGTGTGTATAGTGAATAAAAGCAAAATCAGTATGGTGGGAGGAGTATGTTGGTGAGTGAGGGAATAGTGGCGAATGGCTGACTGGCTGGTGAGGGAAGGCCACTCTTCGTTGATTTTTGACTCGCAATACTAACTTGATGGTCTGGTAGCTGAGCAGACAGCGTGCAGGACTCGTAATTCTGTGGGCCAGGTTCGATTCCAGGACCAGGCAGAAACAAATGGGCAAAGTTTCTTTCACCCTGATGCCCCTGTTACCTAGCAGTAAATAAGTACCTGGGAATTGGACAGCTGTTACAGAGCTGCTTCCTGGGGGGGGGGGGAGGAATTAGTTAGTAGTTAGTTAAAGTTAATTGACAGTTGAGAGGTGGGCTGAAAGAGCAGAGCTCAACACCCGCAAGAGCAACTAGGTGAATACACACACACACACACACACTCATCGTTTGTGGATGAGGCAGGGGGACCATGGCCCCTGCCTCATCTGTCATCGTGACAACTCTGTCACCCAAACACTGCAGGCAATATAGTAAACACATTGCCCCAAGCCACATATTCTCAATGTTATGAACTTGGATGTCTAGACTATCAATCGTGTGAACAATATATTAGGAGCAATATAAATACTGTACTTATAAAATATATATATATATATATATATATATATATATATATATATATATATATATATATATATATATATATATATATATATATATATATATATATATATATATATATTATTAAAAATGTGCGCGCGCGCACACAAATGCATTATATAGAGGCCCATTCGAGGCAGCTCTCATTTATTTTGATATAAATAGGGGCCGTCTCAAATAGGCCTATTGAACAATATGAGGGAGCTCCTTTTTATGTCTAAATAGGAGCCAGGGGGCAATAGGCCTCCTGAAGTTCCCTTTATTATTATGTTCAAATGATGATTGGTTGACTTGGTATAATAATTAATTACAACCATGTAGAGTTGAGAAAACTACTTTATATGAACATCATTGATATATGTATCACGTAATTATGACAATTTTGTCATGTGTCGAGATAAACTCCACACATCCACATAAGAGCTATTTTATCCATATTAGCATACAGTATGTGTAAAATTCGGACAATATTTCTGTAAATCAACATGTGATGATAACCCCCCAGTACCCCATGCATCAATGTATGATGATAACTGCTCTTTAAGATTTAACATATACAGTACTGTACATTCGTTCTATTTACCTTGATCAGGAGGTCGGGCAAATAACATACCTCGCTGGTTCGGCCTTCTCTTCTGCTTTTTGCATCTGGTGTGTCGATGTGTGTATCACCCTCTCTGTGGTGATCAGGTGGCTTGTTATAGGTATCCCACCTGCAGTTATTCTGCCGACAGTGTGGTCTCTTGGTTTTTTTGCCGTTTTTCTATCCATTATTGTTCTTCGGTTCTGGCAGGTTGCCGTTTCTGGCCATTTCTTGGTCAGTGTCTTTTGCTGATGACTGACGCCTCTTCTCGTGTGGCGCTGTTGGAGCTGCTGCAGCTTGCGTTTAAGGTTGCAGTGTCCTTGGCCCTGTTTTCCATTCTTCTCGTGCTGTTTCACCTCCGGCCTTCTCAAAAGTACTGGTAAATTTTATTCTGAAATGGCTCCTGTATTGTATTCATAAAGTCTATGATAACAAATGCTCATTGGCCATTACAAGTGAGTGTTGCCATTTCTTTTAGACTGTTAGCACTGGTACCTGCCTTTCTCTCATTCTTTCCTAAGAAGTCCCCTTTTTGAATCTTACTCTTTCCACTTTACCTCACAGTTCTGTCACATCCAATTTCTTTCACTTTTATATGCAGAATTCTTTCACTGTTGATAATTGGCCATCTTCTTGGTTTGTTAAAAGCACAACACTATAGAAACATATGTTAGGTCATTTGCATACTTTTGGTCTGAGGGGCAACTTCTTTTGTACTATACTTTTAAAGTACAGTTCATGATCACTTTTTCCTTAGTATTGGGAAAATTAGTGGTTAATAGTTTCCACCACTATGATTAGGAGTGTATATCTTCAGGTACATAAGTTGTATGATCTCACTACCCAAATTGATCTCAAGAGGTCAGCCTAATTACCATCACTTTATAATCCTCTTCTCAAGAAGTTATGTTTATACATGTCACGAGTGGCAGAGCCTTTGTAGGAACTAGAAGTGTCGACAGATATTCTTCTGGGCATGAAGGAAGTGTTTTAAGTTTCTTAATTAATGTTAATGGTATTGCATTCTACCTTCCAGCAGATATTTATTATGTGCTCAGTTTTGGCAACACACTATTTGGTGTGTCGGTGATTATATTTTTCTTGTGCAACGTGGTTTTAAATTTGATACTACTGAAACTTGTACCTATTTGGTAATCAATGTTTATATAAAGACAGTACACTATGAAATTCATGTAATTTTTTATGGCTGTTTATCTTGAAGTTGCATACTGTGCTCGTTGCCTGCATGCTTAGTGCACCAAGGTCCTTGTCTTCGTGAAAGTATTATCCAATTCCACCTGGGATGCTGATAGATGAATACTTCTCAAGTTACACTCTTCCTTGGTGTTGTCTAAGCTGGGTTATGGCTTCCCAGCATGTTTGTATGCTTTCCCTTTGACCCTTTGAGGTCCTGATGCTGTTCTTCATACATGCTTACCTTTAATCATGGGCATGTTTTGTTCTTCTCCAATACAGAATTTATGCATTGAAGTTGGTGTTCCATCATTACAAGACCACTACAAAAAGTATTGTCTACATTGCGTTACGAAGCCCCTCCAATGTCCCCATTTCCGATTATATTACATTTTGACCAATAGACCTGTTTCAAACCTTACATGCTTGTGGTATGCAATCTTTTATGAAAAGATTGGACCATTTGCAGTTGTTTTTCTTTCTGCATGTGCACAACACAGGTACAGTATTTCTCCTTGCCACCAATTCCCTCTATGGAAAGCCCTAAATATAAAAAAAATGAATACCGTGACTCATAAATTGAAGGCTTGTACTTCCACTCTTCCCCACGTTTTTAATTGCTCTTTCTTTGAGAATTGTTTAGTATACTGCATTTGTATTCTGTTGTTTATATAGACGGCTTGAACTCTGTGAATGGAGCAGGTTTCTTGGTTATTTTCTCAGGTTAAACTAGATACTAGACACCAGGTCCTTGGTGTCTAGAATAAATAATACAGCTTTATGTGATTCTATGTGCTCTTGAGATGGTAATTTGAATGCAGTAACATTTGTTTGATATTGATTCTTAAAGTATTGTGTGTTTCTGAAGTCTTTGAACCATGGCTAAGTGCTTTTTACAATTATAACTTTAAATTGCCTTTACTGTTGCTTAATATTATTAAGTAAGTATAATGTTGTTTATTGCTCATTGCAGTGATATGCCCTGTGTGTCATCATGTGTCCACAACCTTTTCACATTTCCAAGACTTGGTGCTAGATATCCGTTCAGTCAACAGTGTTGATGATGCGCTCAACCTCCATTTTAAGAAAGAAACCCTTGATGTGGATAATGCCTATAAGTGTGAGAAGTGTCTCAAAAAGGTGCCTGCCACTAAGAGACACCTCATCGAAAGAGCTCCACATGTGTTGCTGATACAGTTAAAGAGGTTTGTCACTTAATTATCATGTTTTCATAAATATTTATTTCCTGATTTTTACACCGGACATTGATTTACTTTTATGTACTATAAATGTTTACTAAGATATTAATTTCTTTTCAGATTTACAATGTCTGGTGGTAAAATTGGAAAACACATAAATATTCAAAGAACAATAGATATATCGAGATTTGTGAATGGAGCCAGCAAACATCAGCCAGGTACTGGACCATATCAATATCGTCTAGCGTCTATGGTAATTCATCTGGGTGGATCACAACATGGAGGACATTATACAGCTGTTGCAGAAGCATCCAGCGGTACTATGTTTGAATTTGACGATTCATCGGTGAGTATTTCTATCTTTAATGTAGTATTTTCCCTATATCGTTTATTTTTTCTTGTGGCATCTGTACAGTCTTGTTACTTTTGTCATTGTTCAACTTTTGTTTGTATATTAATGGATATAGAACAAAGACTGATAGGGCTTGATATTGGAGCTGTTTATTACTTGGTGTGACCATGTAATGGACGGCTGACCGGTCCTGACCAGGAAGGTCTGGTCACGCCGGACCATGGGGAAGCTGATCCCCATAAATCAATGCAAGGTAACCACCCTTTTTCACAATTGCTAGTTATCTTAGTACCAGTGTCTTGTGTAAATATGGTATTCAAGATGTTGAATACAATTTCGTAAGCCCCATACAAAAAATATAAATGTAGTATTTGTAATTAATATTATCCTTCATTCCTTATAAGTACACACAAATTATTTAAAAATCGTATTGTTTTAATGGTATGGATACTTTTCAGGTGCGATCCATATCCGTTCAGAGTGCCCTTTTGCGTAACCCGTACATCCTGTTTTATGAGATGGTACGAAAACCAAAGGATAATATGCAGGTAAAACAGGTGGTTCGCCAGAGTTCAGAGAAGACCTTGATACGTCAGAATTCAGATGGGGTCTCCAAACCAATACCAACAAGCCATAGTGCCTCCTCAGTGGCTAATGGCTTTGGTCGTGCCACTGATAACATTGGGGAAGTTGGAAATAGAAATGGCATTCCAACTCCTACTAATAAACCTCCATTACCATCACATAAAGACAGGTTGGTTGAACTTGTACACTCTTAATTATTATTCTTATATGTTAACAATTCTATATGAAATTTGGCATTTACTTTTCATTTGTAAATATTACAGGGTTGACATTAGATATCTTTATTTTTGAGATTATTGTTTTGGCAACAAAATTATTGTTAACTTTGGTGATCTACTACTAGTCTTCTACTTTACAGGGAAAGAATTTCCTTTGGAATAAAGTTAAATCAAGGCAAAAGTGAAAGCACGAACAAGCCCAATAGAATTATCCTCAACGCCGGTACCACATCCCTCTTGATAATGAAACCTTCGGCCTCTTCTTCGGGCTCTTCCTCATCTACTTCAACACCAAGCAAAACGGTTTCAACTCCTAAATCGGTGCCTAGCTTGGTCCCATATCCAGATGATTCAGACGAGTCGGAGATCGATGAATCCAAGGGGGGGTCAGTGAAAGCACACAGGGAAAAGTCTGTTCAGAATAATAAAGTGAAAAGTGATGATCCAAGATGTATAAAATCAAATGGTGTTAAGAGTGCAAAAAGTGAGAAAATAAATGGATTGTTACATGTGCAGAAACCAGAAAGGCTAAGTAATGGTGATGTTAAAAATAATAAGTGTACTGAAAGTGACAGTAGCATAAAAAGTAATATCTCCAGTAAAAGCGGAACAACTACATTTATGCCACGGTCTCTACAGGTTGTAAATAGCACCACTCAGCATTATACAGCAGCCATCAAAGCCAGTTGTAAAGGTAAAAGTGACTCAGGCTGGCTTGTGACAGATGCATCATTACATTCACCAAGTGAAAGCAGCAACAGTAGTGCTGGTGGATCACATGGAAATTTGTTCACCGTGGTAGACCAGCCTACCAGCTGTAAGTTAGAACAGAAACAACCGCATGTGCAAGTGCATGAAAAACCAGAAAACCAAGGATGGACAGTGACTCCCAAAAAGCAGCGTCCAGAATTAGAAAAATCCCTATCGCATGACTCTGTTCTTCCTAGCCCAACTCACAAAAAAGACGAAGCAGACTCTGCAAGTCTGAAGAGTAAAGCCAGTGTGGACAGCTGCCGCTCTGATCGCTCAACAAAATCCATGAAGAAGTCTATCTTATCGCTATTTACTTGTGTCTCATCTCGCAGTCCAGAAAGTCCTGAAGACGAGCAGCCGGAAGCTGTATTTCCTCAGCGGGAAAGACCAGAGTGCAACAAGCTGAAGTCCACAGATGGTTGTCGCATAAAAGGCGGTGACATAGACGGCAAGGTTAGCAAGAGTAACAGCACTTCCAATTCACCTAATCGCAAGGAATGTAAGAAAGAACTCTTGAATGAATCAAATAAAAATGGAATAAATTGTCATAGTGAAAATGGTCATCATAGCTCAAAATCAGACACTGACAGTGAAGCAGAAAATTCTCAGAGTAAAAGATTTAGAGATCATGATGACAATGAACCTTCAAGCCCCTCAAAGAAATGTCGTCCCGAAGACAAAGCAAAATCTATCAAAAAGAATGAGCATGAAGCATCAAAAAATGGACTTAATTGTAATACTTCAAAAAACGGACAAAATAGTAGCTACGAGGCAAAGTCAAAAAACGTACAGTGTAGTGACTCTGATGTTTCAAAAAACGGGGTCATTCATGAAAATGGGAAATCAAAAAATAGACTTGTGGAAAAGGGAAAGAAGGGTAGTAAAAGAAGCAGAGATCGTAAGCGAGGAAAAATCTCATCATGTAACGGTGAAAGCTCCAAAGCACAGAACGATTCCTCATCCGTTTCAGCCTTGTCCCTCTCTGCGTCATCAGACTCTGAATCGAGTGATGGTGAAGGTGATAAGGAAGGAACTGAGCGTTGGGTTGAAAAGACTAAAGAGACCATAGGGAAAGCTAAAACCAATCCAGTGGCCCAAATTGTTCATTGGAACGGTAGTCTTAAAGATCTTTCTCACACTATAGGCCGTGACCGTGACAATGAACAGAGCCATGACCGTGAAAGAGAGAATTTTAAAGAGCCTCATAAAAGGAGGTGTGGAGTGTGGGATGGTAGCCGCACCACAGAAGTAGTGGACGAGTTGCGAAGAGCTGGAAACTTTGCCTATGGAACTAAAGGTAAGTTTTAAATGATAGGCACACTATTTTATTTATTATCTGGTTATTATTCATTTGATTGTATCTAATGGTAACAATTAGTAGGATCTTATGTGGGAAGCACAGAATATTAGTAACTGCTGTATAGTACAGTAATTATTATATGCCAACTTGGAAGAATTTGATTTTATTATTAAATATTGGTTATGTATGTACCCTATGGCAGTGTTGTACTCCATTTTCATATAACTCAATTGATACCAATATTGTAGACACTGCAACACTTACAGCAGCAGCATATGCATTTATATATCTCATGAGTATGGATGCCTGTATGTGATTCATATGGCTGTTGAGTTGGCCAAGTCACTATAGACAGTCCTGAAATAGACTAGGAAAAAAGTCTTTACTTTTAACCTACAAATGTTTGCCAATGCTAATGTTTGTTGTTTACGTGTTGATGAACTTCAATAAATCAATAAAAGGGTGAGAGTTTAAGCATGTAAATATTCAGGTGAGATTAGACAGGTTTTAAAGTTGTGTTGGTTAGCTACATTATGTATTGTTGATCGCTTGGCTTGTTTCTGTATGGTAAACCAACCCAGTCGTCTCCCACATAGAAACCTTTGACATTGATGAATTATGTATACAGGTACAGTACTGTATATATGTACTATGTAATTGAATTTAATAGTTACTGTATTCTATTTTGAACACAGGGCTTTAACAAGCATGTTGACCTGAATTTCTGGATATTTTGCTCTATTTTTCAGAGGGAGTTGTAAAGCCTCAGTCATTCTTGATACTTCACTGTTTAAATGCATTTATTAAAAGTTCATGAATATGTAAAAATGTATTAAAAGTGTTCATGGCTAATACTTATTACATGCAATTTAAAAAGTTATCATCCACTGAACTTTAAAAAGACTGTTAATGTTTTAAAACACAAAACTAGAAACATGGCAAATATTTATTTGAAGTGTTAACATTTAACATTTTAACACATACATTGCTGGCAATTGTATCTTATAAAATGTTCATTTATGCATACAATTTTGTGTGTGTGTATGTGTAGTTAAATATGACTGCATTCCTGGTTGTGTTTATCTTATAGTTCAAGCTTTCTTTGCTTCTATTTTCTTACTTTTGGAATTAAGAAGAGCATTCAAGTTACCGAGATTCATGGTAATAAAAATCTAATGGTTATTGAAGGGTGTATGTTCTACAACGTTTCGTTCCACTCGGGAACATTTTCAGGTAATGAATGAGATTTTCATTCCTTAGGTGCAGATTTATCTTAAATACCCATGTGAAAGTTGTATGGGAGGGGTAAGGTGAAATAACCACACATAGGTAAGGAAATGGGGGATGGGTGCCAATCAATCATTGGGTAAGGCGGTGAGGGGGAGAACTCGGTAGAGATGTCGTTGTCCGGTGCTGTATGGTGAGGTCTGGATTTGACCGTAGGTAAGGTATCAAAGTCGTTACTCTGTATATTTAGTTTTTTTTTTTTATCAAAATTTTTCTAAATATCTTCTGATATGGTGTTGACTTCTCTCTTTGTTTACCCGTTGTTTATTAACCCTTAAATGCCACAAAACATGCATATACGATTGGACCATAACATCAGTTTTTAAAACTTGCACAAACACTTTACAATTTTTTGTGCATAATTACTCGGCAAATGCTCCAACTTTGTCACTTGATCACTAACATAACTTGAAAAACAAGAAAATCAAAAATAATTTTAAAATTGAATATTGAAAACTTCAGATTTTCAAATCAGATTAAAAGATATAGACCAGTTGTTCATTTGGTGTTGTTATACTCTCAGAATAGAATATGATCTTCATTTACATCAAATTAAAATATAGGTTTTAGTATACTTTACTGTAAAAAAAAATCGTCAATATGGTATTTGAAATATACGGCAAATTTAGAAGAAGAAAAAAAGTTTACGCTCTAAACGTTTAGGGTTTATGAAAAATCCATTCTTAAGGGACAAGGGATTGTAGAACAGACAGCTGAGCACACAATGTCAAAATGGTAATAATCGGTTAGAAACTGGAATTTTAGAAGCTTCTCAAAGTTGAAACTAGTTTTAGAGATAATTGAAGGTGTAGTTATCGACAATGAATAACGGTAGTTCGAATTCATTAATTTACTTGTATGTTTAAACATTGCTTGGCAATGTAATAAACATTGCATGGCATTTGTACTCGAATGTTTGAAAGTTGTAGGTCAATGTGTCAAAATAGTCAAGAAAAAATAACTTGCCCAAAAAACAAAATATAGGGATAATTATAATGATTTAGGGGATATATTTAGGGTATACTTTATATAAGTGAAAAAGCCCTAATCTGGTCCCCTAATCATCAAAACAACCTAAAGGGACAAAGAAAATAGTTTGAAATCCCTGTAAAAAATCAGCCAAAAAAGTCCCAAGTTCTGCCAGTTGTGACTGATTTATTTGTTGACCAATTTCATTCTATCTTCACACAGTTAGGGACGAGTATGCACTCTCCAGGATGTAAAGTTTACAACAAAATCAGATAATAAAGTAAAAAAAACTAAAATCATAAAAAAATAATTCCCACCCCAAAAAAAAATAATTTTGGGGCATTGATGAAAGTAACAGATAACAACATTGGACAATGTATTTATATGATATAACAAAATTGAGCTTAATAACATGACATTCATTATTGCTTTGTAGTTATATATTACTCGGCAATGCCATAAAGGCACAAGCTGCATATCCACTTTGTGGGCACTTGTTACTACTATTATTCTTCTTCTTTGTGCATCGGACAGGTGCTTGCATCTCTTTATTACTGCATTATCCCTCAGTTCCAGTTAATAGGAGCTGTTCGTATCAACAAAACTTTTCTTTTTTTTTATTTCTAAAATCAATTTCTGAAATATTTTGATGAAAGTTTCACAACCCTGAAGCCAATAAGTTGGAGATTTGTTTAATATTTTTAAGTAATTTTTACATAATTTGAATATTTTTCACTAATTGACCCCAAAGGCTGCAGCGTTTAAGGGTTAATACTTGAAGGCTTCTGTCCAGTTCCTTGTGGATTTTATGCCAGTTGGGATAGTGTTCAGAAGGAATGCATTATGTTCACAATGCTAGACAGGCAGCCACAACACTGCCATTGTTTGATCTCTCCAAGCACATTGAAATAACTTCTCATATTCCTTTACAAAATAAACTTGTGAAAAATTATTCATTTATGGAATTTAGTGACCAGTATTTTGATATTAGCAGCATTATGGTGAGAATCATCGATGTACATGTGAAAACTATCATTAAACCTTGAAATGACAAATAATGCAACAGGTTTCCCCACAGGACCAAAGTTAACTTCAGCTTTGATGTCCAAAGGGTTTGGAAAGGATGGGGGAGGTAGAGGGATGGGGTGGTGAAATTCTGGAAGAGGATGTGGGTATAGAGAGAGAGGAGGATTGACAGTTCGATGGGTTGGCATATGTGTGTGTCGTTTGTTTAGGTGTGTGGCATGTTGGATTGTCAGTAAATGGTCTGAATGATGACCAACACTTACCTTGAAACTGGGACCTGCAGGCTGGTAACTCAAGGAGCTGTCCACACAGGTGATCATTAGTGTCAGGACTTCACTGTACTTGCCTAGATGTGCTTGCCAGGGTTGAGCATCTTAGCTTCAGCTCTTTGGTCCATCCTCTCTGTTGACATGGGGGCCGGGGGGGGGGGTTGCCGCCTAGCAGTGGCTAACTGTAACTAGTGGTTTTGACCTAACAGGTGGGTGAATGGTTTGTGAAGTTATTTTCTGCTTTGTTTCTTTTATTTCTCTTGTGAACCTTCTGGTGTTTGTTTTGCTTTACTTAATAGATGTTTTCTTAAAGGTGATGATGACAACCTCCGGGCTCTACCTCTGGTTTCCACTAGGCCATCTTCTGTCCATTAAAATTTAAGAACTCAATTTCATATGAAAAAGCAGATGTTATTAAATTGAGGTTTAATTTGAAGGCACTTCTGATTATCTGCCCCCTCCCCCCCCCCCTTCCCCAAAAAATTATAATGGTTAATTTTGTAATAAAAAAAAGTGGCTGCCAGACTTGTTACAGGAACACTTGAATGCTTGGCTTTGATAAACCAGAAGCTTCCTCTTCAAGATTTCATTTGCTATAAACTTCAATGCATAATTCATTAGCTATGGTAAAAATGAGGCTTTTTATACATCCTTAACTAATTTTATTGTTCTTAGAGCCATTTTCAAGTACTGTAGCCACTTTATAAGCAAATCCCTTATATCCTACAGTGAATACGTGGGGTGGAAGTAAGAGTATTGCTGACCATGAAGTTGAAAGAGAACGCAAGGAATTGAAGAAGCGGACGTCTGACGACTTATATAATGAGGAATTTGACAGTGGCAGAGTAAGTACTTGGCATGTGTTTTGTGGAATCTTTATAATATTGAATTAGAAGAGAGGAACAATATATAACTAAAGGGTTGGGGAGATGGGGTTAATGAACCTTCTGCAGAAACTGATGATGTGGCCATCCTCTAATGGGGGAGCTCCCAGAAGAGAGTAAAGCATTTTAGCTAAAGGTTGAGCTGTTTTCCTTCCCCAGCTCATTTTAAAAGCATAACTTCAATTTTGACAACCTCAAGGGTCAGGCCTTTCCATTGTGAGGGGTCTTGTGAACAATTACCTGGGGCCAGTGGGGGCATTGCCCCGGTCCCCTCTCCTGACCCTCTCCGAGTGTTGAACATGCAAAAAGAGACCAATGTAGGGTGCCCATTCAGGTCATCAGAGGTGGATCCAGGTGTCTGGACTAGGGCAAAATGGAGAATGAGGTCTTTCCACCCATATGGTGAGAATGTACAATGCAATAGGACTTGCCTGTCAAAAAGGGAAATCACTGCTTAAGACGACTCTCCCTTTTCTGCACCTCACAGCCGTGGTAAGTGGTATCCGTTGGCTCCAGGGCCCTAACATAGACACATAGGATGCACATGTAAAAAGAACCCCTTCTCAAACACAGGCTCATGGGGTGGGCAACCAGCCCCCTAGTCAGACAGTTATGGAAGATGGGGCTCCATAGTCCCAGCTACAGTGGACCCAGACACAGTTTCATCTTTGGTTCACCTAACTGATCCTCTCTTCTTCCCTCCCACTCCCTTGGCAGGGTCAATCCCCAAGTATCCTGTAATACCTAGTACATTACCTGAAGTGGTAACTGTCTGTGGTTACTACAGCTGTGCCCTTTAACACCTTCCCCCCCTCCTTTCCCTCCCACCTTCATAATGAGGAACCTAGGCAATGCACGTTCAAACATGCATGTTTCCCTCAACCATTGGTATGTTGCATGATCTGTTTGGCTCTGCTACATGGCCTAAATATAGATGCTCCATTCAGGAATGTGTGCCCTCTCCATGCCTCTGTAATAGACTCTGGAAATATGGACATGGGTCCTCGAAGTACAGTAGTGAGGCATCCTATTGCCCCTTGTATGGTGACCCACCTACCTACCTGTTGACAATTTTTGGGATCAGTGTCCCCATGGATATTTTAGGACAGATTGTTCTTTTCCCCATGCTCACTGCATCAACTGCAGCAATTCTCACTGTCCCTCAAGGTCATTTTGTCCCTTGATAGGATCCTTGGGGAATTTGATACCTTTGATGTTGCTCTCCTTATGTCTTTTTGTTCTCATTTTGACATCTTGGGAGATGTTTTGATAATTACGTTAATTTTAAGTTTTAATCCCATATATTTTTGTGGTATATTGTAATACATATGCAGTACTTGTATTAATTTTTAGAGCACATTCAAGGTGAACTTGATTCTTTGCTCCCCCACCCCCTCCCCAAGCTCTATCTGTTCATTGTGAAATCATGTTTTAGATAAAAAAGAAAGCATCAGTATTTAAGACTTCAGAAATTAGAAAGGTACAGACAAGACATAACTGCTGATGCATGTCATTGTGATATAATAGTTATCTTCTGAGTGCCCCTAGAGTAGGCCTGTGTTAGTACCCAAGTGTAGTTACAGGATGAGAGCTACGCTCGTGGTGTCCTGTCTTCCCAGTACTCTGTTGTATAACGCTTTGAAACTACTGACGGTTTTGGCCACCACCACCACTTGTTCCAACCGTCTATCACTCTGCAAAAGAAAACTTCCCAATGCTTTTTCGGCACCTTTGTTTCCTTAGCTTGAATCTGTGTTCTCTCATTTGTGAAGTTGCTGGTTTCAGGAATTCCTCTGTCAATTTGGTCGATTCCTGTTAGTATTTTGTAAGTGGTGATCATATCTCCTCCTTTTTCTTCTATCTTCTAGTTTTTGGCATGTTTAACGCTTTCAGTCTCTCCTCATAATTCTTGTTTTTCATTTCCAGAAGCCATTTTGTAGCATGCCGTTGCACCCTTTCCAGTTTATTTATGTGCTTCTTGAGATTTGGGCACCATACAAATGCTGCCTACTCCAATTTTGGTCTCACAAATGTCATGAACGGTTTCATTAGTATTTCACTATCCATATAAAATAATTAAAAACAAGTCTGAAGTTGGAAAACAATGCATCCAATCCTCTCATAATATTCTTTGTGTTCCTCTGGCAGCAGCTTACTATCCAAAACCACCCCTAGGTCTTGTCCTTTATTTGAGTTCTGTAATTTCTTTCCACATAATTTGTAAGTTGTGTGGGGTCTATTTTCTCTGATTCCACATTCCATAACATGGAATTTCTTTTTCTTTCCCAGTATCTTAGCATCAACTGCAATCATGTTCATATAATTCTGTATTCCTTTTGGTAGATCATTTATGTAGACGATGAACATTACTGGTGCAAGAACTGAACCGTATGGTACTCGACTAGTAACATTCCTCCAGACAGATACGTTGTCTCTGATTACTGCCCTCATATGTCTTTCAGTTAAAAAAAATTCATCCATGCAAGAAGTCTCCCTGTCGCCCTTCCTGAGGGGCCTGACAGCTGAATGGACAGCACTCAGGATTCATAGTCCTGAGGTTCCGGGTTCGATTCCCGATGGAGGCGGAAACAAATTGGCAGAGTTTCTTTCACCCTGATGCACCTATTTACCTAGTAGTAAATAGGTACCTGGGAGTTAGACAGCTGCTACAGGCTGCTTCCTGGGGATATGTAACAAAAAGGAGGCCTGGTCGAGGACCGGGCCACTGGGACGCAAAGCCCCGAAATCATCTGAAACTCCAGCATGTTTCAGTTTCCAGAACAGCGTCTTGTGTGGGACTCTACCAAAAGCCTTTAAGTGTAGGAACCATTGTGAACAAAAACTTTCTTCATTCCAGTAAGATCACTGACATCCCTCTAATGTTGGTTATGCTAGCAAGGGAGGAAGGGCCATCAAGTTTGAATTAACTACTTGGTGGTGGTTCCATGGATCAGTGTGTCCCCACAGCCTGACATATGAAACACATCCCGGTTGATCACATATCCTTTAGAGGTATTTTTTAAATTCTCTATGAACACCATTAGCCCTTAAAGGGCGCCTCGGATACCTTTGATATTGTTCGCCTTAAGCGTTTCTGTTCTCGTATTGGCGTCCTTGGTGATATTTAGCGCCCTCTGATTATCCCGCACATTTGATGGTGCTACATAACCTTCCCGGTTTGGTGCCTTCTTTTTGATAATTCATTCCTTCCTTCCTTAAAGGGCGCAATACATGTATATATGATTTGAGTAAATGTCACTGAGCGGCACACATTGTACAGGTATATGTATGATTTAACCCTTAAACAGTGCAATACATGCACAATGGAAGTAACTGTCACGGAATGGTGCACATCATACATATATATGATTGAGGATCTAGCACAATTCTAAAAGCCTTGCTAGGTATAGGGGCAGCTATAGTCCAGCCATGACCGATAGGAAACAGACTCCATCTTGGAAAACAAATCGTGAGTAACATTCGTGGGTGTGAGAGCCTCAGTAATGAATGAGCAGCCAAGGCTGGCGCATGCAGCATGAGCTAACAGCGCTGCTGTTCAGCTTATGAAACACAACATCGTCTAAATATGTAACAATATACATGAATCTGCTATTATATAATGATAGTATTGCAGGAGACCCCTGACTGTGATAAAAATGACCAGGATTCTGATAATAGCAGGATTGTGGTGATAATTAGCGATGTGCATAATATGGTGGGAGGAGTAATCTTGGTGAGGGAGGGAGGTAGTGTCGTCTACTGACACTGGTGACCTTTTATTGTCTGGACTCACCATACCAGCTTAGTGGTTCGCTATAGTGAACACAAATTTAGATACTTATATATAACATGTGTATATAGTGTAATAACAGCAAAAGGGGTATGTTGGGAGGAGCCATTTTGGTGAGGGAGGTGGCGTTGTCTGGTGACTGGTGTGTAACTTGTCATGCTATGTAGGGTGGCCACTATGCTGCTTGGACAAAATACCAGCGTAGGTGTACAGTTATGGTGAACAAAACATGTAGATACTTATATATAATGCGTGTGTATATAGTGTAATAACAGCCCAGACAATATGGTGGAAGGAGGAATGCTAGTGAGGGATGGAGGTAGCGTCAGCTGACTGTGTGTGGCGGCCACTGTTGTCTGGAGTCACCATACCAGCTTAGTGGTTCGTTATGGTGAACAACACATGTAGATAATTATATATAATGGGGTGTATATAACATAATAACAGCACAAACATTATGCCGGGAGGAGCAATTTTGGTGAGGGAGGTGGCGTCATCTGCTGGCTGGTGGTTGATTTGTCATGCAGTTTTTTGTAGCCACTATGTTGTTTGGACACCATACCAGCTTAGTTGTACAGCTATGGTGAACAAAATATGTAGATACTTATAACATGTGTGTGTGTGTGTGTATAGTGTAATAACAGTAAAAACAGAATGGTCGGAGGAGAAATGTTGCCGAGTGAGGTGTTGAAGGAGGGCGGGAGGTGGCGGTCACTCTTGTTGCTTGGACTCACCATACCAACTTAGTGGTTCGTTATGGTGTAATAACAGCAAAACCTATATATTGTTTTATATTTGATATATTTTGATTGATGTATATTGTTAATTGTTTTATGAACATAATTGAATTACTAATATGTACACCATACTTCTGAGTATAGTGATGATTCACACATTTATTATACAAATATATCACACTACACACTACAACGTTCCGCCTGGGTACGTTGTCCTCTTGCGGTGTTTTTCTTTTGTTTTTGTTTTCCTGCCTGGTGGGGGCCTTTGGTTCGTTGCCCTCTATCTATACCTTAGGTTTCTATCTCTGTGTTCTGGGTGGTACCCCCTGCTAGGCCCCCATGAGTGGACACGTCCCGAGGGTTCAGCTTTTAGAAAGTTTGTTGGTAGACTTGGGTGCCGGTTAGCAGTACCCTGCCTGGGTTTCCCTGAGCATGAGTTCCATCTCAGGACCTCTGGGAATCCCCAACGGGGCGCATGGGTCTGATGAATGTGACCCCTGAGTCTCTCCCCCCCCCCCCCCCTCACTTTGTGCGAGTTTGAGGTTTGCTCTGTCTCTTTGTCTCATGGTGACTCTTTGTTTTTGCCTCCGTTGCGCTGCCTGCTGGGTCGGTGACACCTTCAACCTGGAGTCCTGCGAGTTTTGTTGCTTGTTTGTGATTCTGTTTACCCAGTCCACTGACGACTATTCTGGTACAGGCACGCAGGCATTGCACGTTAGGTTTAGGTTGTTTGCTTTCCCTGAAGCCCCGTTTTGGTTGTAGGGACCCCTGACTTGGGTATGTTGTTCATTTCAGCCTTGGTTTCGTCTGCTCCCCCTCGTCCTTTCCCTGCCATAGTTCAGTCTGGTCCTTCCCCCCCCCTCCCCCTTGCATCCGGCTCTGTACCATCTGAGGATTTCGGGGTCGGGGCAGGGTTTAGATGGGCTTGAGACTCGCGCAGTCTTGGGGGATGCCCCTTCCGGGGTGGTGACGGAGGCATTCGAGTCGGTTCTCCCTGCTGAAACTTTTGGGTCTGACCAGTGGGCCTCCTTCCTTTCGGCTTCCACGGCTGCGCCGGCCTTTTCTTTTGAGGCTGGGGCTTTTGGGGACGAATCACCCCCGGGTCCTGATGCGGTGGTTCCTAGGGCTGGGGAGGGGCTGACTTGGGGACTTTGGGTCCCATTGGACTCGGCCTGTGTTTTCCTACCCTCCAAGCGGGGCTTACTGTTACATGGAGCGGGGTCCTCCCCCCCCCCCCCCATGCATACGAGTGGGATTTGGTGCCCTCCTCAGGTTCAGTTCTGTGTCCCTTCGGAGGTTTTCGGCTTCCTGCATCTTGCCAACTGAAGTGCAGGCGGCCATTGCGACTTACCTCCTTCGCGACCCGGCTTATACCTCTAATGGATTCATCTCCATACTGGATTCATTATGAGGTTCTGAAGTCATCCTGGCTAGCAGACTGCCCAGTGTTATCGTTGGATGCGTGGAGTACTTCTGTTGTACCACACGCTCGAGTGGCGCGAGGTGTTGACGGTGGTCCAGGTTTTCCTTGGGGAGTTTATTCGTGCATCTCGATGCGTGTTTGTTCGCCCCTGTGCTTCAGCGAGATGTTGCCATGGTTCAGCTTCACGTGCAGGTTCCTCCCTTTCGACTGCACTGGTGACTGAGGGATTGCGCACTTGTGGCCTGGTGGCTTCAGTCTTGCGGTTCTTTTTTTCAGGTTCAAATTGGCTTCAGGTTGATGTGGTGGCGCTTGAGGCCGTTCCTGGGTCTGGTGCCTTGTACATTGTCTGCACTGCTGGAGCTGTTTGCGCCAGTCCTGCATGATGCAATGTCAGTTTTTCGCTTTGTGTCTCACGTGTCGGCTAGTGGTGCTTCACACACAGAGATCACACTAACGTGATGCATCAAATGAACAAATCCACATGGGCCGTGACGAGGATTCGAACCTGCGTCCGGGAGCATCCCAGACACTGCCTTAATCGACTGAGCTACGACAGGGTTAAAAGGGTTGAAACCCTTTTAACCCTGTCGTAGCTCAGTCGATTAAGGCAGTGTCTGGGATGCTCCCGGACGCAGGTTCGAGTCCTCGTCACTCTCTTCGTAGGTATATTGCGCTTTTTGTTGAGGTGATCTTGTCCTTTCTCTCATGGCTGTTCAAGACCATCATCTTATGCCGCATACTCTCACCTTGTATCGTGCGGTGCTGGTGGAGCTGCTACGACTTGCTTTCAGTTTTGGTGTTCCTTCTGCACCGTTTCGTGAACTGTCTCGGGTGTTATTTCACCTCCGGCCTGCTCATGCGCCACCTGAGCCATCCTGGTCTTTGGACAAGGTGCTCCCTATCTCTCTCCCTCGGTTTGATGTGGCCCCTTCGGTTCAGGATTGTTTCTCGGGGGGGTTTCTGCTCTTTTGGGTTCTGGTGTTAGGTTTGTTCGTTTGCAGCCATCTCTTCTTTTCTGGCGAGGTTGGGACGGCTGTTTTACGGAGGGATACCTGGAGTTTTTGTAGCTTGGTTGGTTTGGCCAGGAGTGTATCTTCTTGTGTTGAAGATACACTTACTTCTTGTAATTGTGAAGATACACAATTAAACTCATTTGTTTAATTGGGGCTCTCAGCCATTGCCTGTATACCACGGCCTTTATGGCCATGGCTGCACTTTAGGTTGACCCGGGTTCCCTTCGTCCCTGTTTCAGGGTTCGGATCTCCTGGGTTGTTCCACGGGGTCATTCGGTGTTGCCAGTTGTCTTGCTTTCGGATTAGGGCGGGAGGATTCTTTTGTCCTTGTCTTTGGGAAGATAGCTCCTGGGAGCAACACGGGCTCCCCCCAGAAAACCAGCATTGAATGTAATGAAAAGCCATTTTCTGGGTGGGACCCGGAGGCTTCCCAGCATACCCCCCTCCCTCCCTCCCTCCCTCCGGTCGGCGTTTTTTTTGCGTGTTTTGACATCCAGCCTCAGAACTGAAGGTGTGTGGTTGCCAGTGCAAGGGGTCTGGGGCTCCACCTTCCCCCTCCCGGGGAGGGGGGAGCTGTGCAGACAGCAGCATGGCAAATGGTGAGTGATATCATGCTCATTTGTTTGTTTTTCTTTGGGAAGTTCTGTCCACTCATTTGACTTTCAGTAGTAGTTTCAACCCGAATAGGTGTTCGTTTTGGGATGCTCACCTTTCTGGGTGCCTGACCCAGTCAATGGCAGACATAGAATGCTCCAAATCACATGTGCTCTTCTATAGGCCTTTGCTCGTCATGCCTCTCTGAGGGTGACCAGGTTCTGGCTCTTGGTCCCCGGTAGGCCTATGAACTCCATTCATTCTGACTGATGCCAAAGTATAATATATTACATATCAGCCTGGATAGCTCCGGGAAGCCTTTGGGTCTCGCCCAGAAATTGTCGTTTCATTACATTCAACACTTGGTTTTTTCCTTTTGTGCTTAGCGGTGTTGCAGGGATATTTCTACATTGTCATTAAAAAAGTAATAATTAAACTTCTAAGATGTCCACATAGTTATTAACACTTTGGCGCACCCCGCTCGCCACCCCTCAACTGTGCGATATGGGACCCAGGGTGTCACGGGAGTGAGCGTAAATTCTGAAAAGTGTATACTCTCTTCAACTTTGTCACCTTAATTCTCATCCTACGAGATTAAATTTGGTATCATTGTGTTCGCAATGGAATTCTCTACAGCACTAAATGCATATAAACTCCAAAAGCCCGGTTAATTACCCACAGTAAACAGAGAAAGTGTGAACGAGTTACCCAGGAGCGCGCAAACGCGATAAAATGTTTTCACTCTGGTCACCTCAGTTTTTATTCTAAGTCTTCATTTTGGTCTCAATGGGTTCGCAATAGAATTCTCTAGAGGAACATTAGCATATAAAATAAAAAACCTGGTCACGCTCCAACCGCCGACGAGTTGAAGACGGGCCACGCGTTAGCCGCGAGTGAGTGCTCAGCCGCCTTCCAGCTACACTCCCAATTCCCGCCCTTTTCAAGCCTTTCTTTCGCAATTTTCTTCCTGGAAGGGCCTTGTTCATGATCACTATCCATCGTGGAGTAAGCGTAGATAGTTTCTAAAGCTGCAGTAAGAAATATAGCCACGGAAAATAGCCGAAATGTTCACACGTTTGAGATGCGAAGGGAAGCGACATTGGTCACAACAGTGGAGCGAAAGCAATGGGCCCACGGCATGTGCCAAGCTGCCTGAGAGCCACGAGGCTCAACAAAGAAAATGGGAAGACATCGGCGCGCATTTTAAACCCAGTCCCCAAAAAATCGGATAAAAACCTGATTTTTGGCGATTATTTAAAGTGGATGACGCAATGCTGCGTCATCCCCGGAATTACCGCCAGTAAACGGATGACGCAATGCTGCGTCATGCCCGGGCGAAAGTGTTAACCATTGAGATTTAAAAAAGTAATAATTAAACTTCTACGATGTCCACATAGTTATTAACCATTGAGAGTCTTCTCCCACTACTGGATGCCAAATGCTATCCAGTGATAATTATTAATGTCTGCTTTCTAGAAAAGGTTAAAAAGTAACACACTCAGGTAAACTGTGTATCCCCAACACTAGGTAAACTGTGTACCCCCAACACTCCCTCTTGATATTTTCAGTCTTGTGTAGTGAGGATACCCAAAGAACTCATTTGTTTAATTTGTGCTTTTTATTTTGCAGACCAAGAAGATAAAAATGGTAAAGAAGACCTGGGAGTCACAATGTTGGGACCGTAGCATAGGTAACGAGTTTCAAAAGGTCCAAGACTTTCGAAATTCAGGATCGTGGTCACCACACAACCACCACAACCATAGCCCATATCAATACCCAGGTTCACATTTCAGTGATCATCACCAAAGACATTTATTTTGGGACAAGAATCGTAATCATTATCAGCCACGCAACAAGTCTTGGAACAGGTTTGGCAAGCGAGACCACAAGTTTCATCAGAAACCAAAGGAACGGTATAAACACTGGGATAGAAGAGATTAGAATGTTTCTAGACATACTGTGTCAAGTTTGAGAGCCACCTGATCACAACTATTGGGTGCAATGCTGCATAACTTATGCCTGACACCATTTTGAGCTGTTGTACCGTTCACAATTTTGTGATCTGTGGCTTTCTAATATGTTGCCTTGAGGGGCCCTGTTAAATGCTCTTTATAGGATTGTAAAAAGTTGCTAAATCTTGTACAGTACTATGAAAGTCATTATCTTGCGTTTGGCATTATGGTGGAAAAAACACATCTCTACATTCTACCCTTCTCTACCTGCTTTAATGCAAGCGGTAACACTGACTACTGTTTTCAGTTCTTGTATGCAAGTATTCTGAGAAAGCATAATGCTTGAATGTCTTTTATAAGAATTTATTACCAATTGTTTATTCATTTAACTTTGTTACATTGTTGATTTGTACAAAATTGAAGTAAATCCCACACTGAAGCCTAGTTACAGCACGTTTTTATCCCAGCAATGATATGAGAGTCCTGTGATAGTGAATGATAGTTTGTTTTATTCAGCTTTTATTTCTAATATGTTGCTGGTATTTATTATCCGGCCTGTTATGCTACTGAAATGTATATTCAAGCAGTGCTATTTAAATGTGTGAAATAATATATATATATATATATATATATATATATATATATATATATAT